GATGCCTTCGTCCTTGCCCCTTGATCGAAAACAATCGGACTTGCAACAAAAAGATAAACGAAAATCGAAAATAGAAAAAAGAAAAGTTGCATATGAAAAATCTAGCATTGGCATTCACGATTCTCGACAATTTCAACATTTCGGGCACGTTCCCAACTGAAGCAAGTGGCCCTCTTTGCATTGGCTGCGATTTCCAGTTCAAGTGTTTCGATTCTACCCCGCACAATTACGGCGGATCGGGTATAACTGGCTCAACATACCAAATACAAGGGCATCTTTAATGTGCGCGAAATGTTCAGTTAATGTTTTTTGCAGGGCATAAATACAAAATAACTGCGTTAACTAGGCAAGGCTATCCCCCAATAGATGCCAATTATGATAGTGGTGAATGCTCTTGCATTTCGTTTTACAGGGTATTTTGGAAGAAAATTAACTATGCGCACCGTATTCCAACTGAAATAAATTCCACATCGAACATAATTCCCAATTTAGAGGGTATCTTACAGCAGGCCTTAATCATACAAACAGGGTATGCTAAGATAACGCGTAGCTTGAGCTTTAAACGTGAAATGGAATGTTTATTAATAACTATAGCTGTGTACATTTGTGTTTCGAGAGGGTATCTGTATATGTAGGTTTTATATGCTTGATTTTACAGTAAAACTATTTTTGCTTTTAAAATCGGATGCACTAATTTTGCCATTCACCTAAACGATTTGCGTATGTTACCGGCTAGTGCTTACATTTTTGCAGGGTATCTTTAGGAACAACATAACATAACAACATAGTGAATCAAATTTGATTGAAGTGCAACATCCCATTTGAGAGTTAACTGTTGCTCTAGGCATTTACAGGGTATCTTGTGGCTTGATCTCCATGCCAACTGGCCGCTTGCCCCTGTCAGCGCACGTCAATGGCATGTCAATTGCTCTGCTTGCTACAAGGCTGTGAACTGCACACTGAGTGGAGCACAAATCGGACAAATCGTGCTTCGGTTCGCCATGAGCAACTCCTGCAGTTGGATAGTCCCAAATTGATGGGGAGACTAATTGACAGCGATTGCCGAAAGGAGCACTGAACTGGACTGGACTGGACTGGACTGGACTGGAATGAGATTGCGATTGCGATTCCGACTGCGATTGCAGCTGTGCCAAGTGGTTGTCCATTATATGCTGCTCCGAACTCTTCGCCCAGTTGCAAGTGCTGACAATGTAGAAATGTGTGCGAGGGGGCAGTTATACCCATTGAAATGAATGTAAAGTGGGTCTGACCACACTTGAATAACCAATAAAACAACAAACAAATAAATTGATGAATGTGTGTATATAAGAGTTGTGCATCTTTTCTATAAGAAAGGAAGCAGGCATATTCCAGACTAGTCGAGCATGCTCAGCTAGCATATACCCTGTAACTAGCTCTAGCTTGACACGATGCTGTGACTAAATAAAAATCTATGAAAATAAAAAGTAGATCTTCAAATTCCAACAAATATCATATCAAACGATTTGGGATTTATAGAGTATATACATATATACATATATACATGTTTAGTAGAAGTCATATTCAAAATTTGGTGGCTTTTATAGTTGTCGGATTCTGATAGATCCCAATACCAATCAAAATGGGTTATAAGGGTATACTGTTTTTGTGCAAATGTATGTAACAGTCGGAAGGCAGCTTCTCCGACTCCATAAAGTATATATATATTCTTGATCAGCATCTCTCAGATTATAGAATGGTATATATCTTTATTTTTAAAGCTAATTTAAAGCTATCAGCAAAATGTGTTTTAATTCGGTTGTTCCTTTGCTTGGAACTGGTTCGGTTCATAGGAGTTCCAGGCTCGAACTGGCTCCATGCAAAATCCCATTTGCCTCGTCGTCTGCTTTTTTCTTAGTTAAGCAATCCCTCAGGTTCGCGAACTCCTTTATGAACTTTGCTTTGATTATCCAGCGTCTTTTTCTTCTTCAAACTTGAAAGCATCCAGCTTGAGAACTTTTTTCTGTAAGTTCCGGACTGGCCTTTAGTCTCAATGCTGGGCTGGCAGCTGCTTCCGCTTCCGCTTGCTGCCCGGAGTGAAAGTCACGTGCTGGCCACGCAAGGCAAACAAAATTGAAGAATTAGAAAATTGGAAAGTCGGAAAATGTGCAACTGCAGCGCCAACTGCATAATAGTTTGGACAACGTGCATTGGATGCCTCGCAGCCCGAGGTCGAGGTCCGGCATCCGGTTTTTCTTTAACGCACTCGCAGATAAGCTAGGCTAGGCAAAATTAAGGGGAAAGAAACAGAAAAACCCTGAGCTGGATTCCATTTCGGATTTGGAAAATTGTCAACCGCACAAACGACTTTGTATTTGGGTCATAAATTTGGGAAAATTGTTGTGTAAATTGTTCTGGGCCGGGGGGAAATTCCAGTTGGCCGCTGCGGAAAACTGCGGGCCTGTTGCGATTGCGTGTGAAAATGCAACAATCCACATTTCCTGCCGATAGTCAAATGAGCAACGGCCAAGGGCCAATGGCCAAAGAATCGACTCGAGTCGAGTCGCAACCTTTTGACACCAGCCAAATAAATGGGCTGCACCCAAAACATCAGCGAGCGTGTGGGAAAAGTAACGCCTCAACCCTTCACCGCCGACGCGTCCTCAGCAGACGGGGCTGGCTTTGTTTAGACTCTCGAATCCAAACCATGGCCCAGTGTTTCCCAGGGCTATTTACCCAGCGCTCATCTTTTGGGAAAGTGCGCAGAGTGTGGAAGTGGGAGAGAGAAGAGGGCCGCAGGGCGAGCACAGCTCGTTTGGATTGTCCAGAGCCAAGGTTTTTCCAAAGAGCATTTCTAGCTTTCCAAGCAGCAAACGGCCAAATATGAGCAAACATTTTAATACGATTTTCAGCTCCAAAAGGAAATCAAATTGCATTAAGCAAAACTAATCTTAACGCAACAGCGAGCATAATTGTTGCTATTTTCTTTCCTCTTATAAGTTAGCAAAGGGAAAACAGCTTCTATGGCTCAAAAGCTGCCAGCAGATCTTAGTTGAGGCTTTCCCAAATTGAGTCTTTCCAAGTGCAAACTCTGCTCTTAAGAGTACTTCAAGGTCCTAGCTCGCAGCTGTCTGTGACTTCTGGAAGTTTCCAACTGCTTTTCGTGTCAGCTTTAAGACCGAAAACCTTTTCTTTAAACTATTTTCCCACTTTACATTTATTATACATTTATTTAGTTGTCTCCAGCTGCTTTTATTGTCAGCTTGAAAGTAGCTAGATATCCTTAATATGCTTGTCTTAAGCCCTTAACCAATAAATCTTCTTTCTAGTAATTTCTGTTATCGACTTATGCTACGTGCGTGTCTAATATATGTTGTAACAATTATAAAATGAAGGAAAGTCCTTAAATTTTCTTCAATTAGCATATATTTAGAGACTGGACTTTTTCAGTTAAAATCTATTTATATACTGAACTTTTCTTCAATCAAAATATATCTGACATGCAGTAATATATAATAATAATATATTTATATATATCTTTTAATCATTTACATTTCCTTCATTTTTATACAATTTTTAAATCCAAACTATATTTAACTTGTGTACTTTACTCATATGTAGAAATATAGATATAGGAGGATTATTATTATTTCAATTCCTGAATGAGTCAAATTTAGGAGTTAATGGGCCTGCTTGGCATATACTTATGATCATGTATAATAGACATAAGTTCAAAATAGTTTGAAAAATTACATTTAAAGCTTAGATTTTGACTATATCTCAAACAAAATACCAAATCTTAAGCAAGCTGGATTAGATCTAAGCTGGTTTTTTCAGCATTCAAACTTTCCCTTTTAACTAGACTCAAAGTGAAAGGCACTTAGGTATGAAAAATAGCTAGGGTATATTTTGGTTTGTGATTTGGATAGCATTGAAAGTATTTACGAATAAAATTGGGCTTGATAATAGAGTTTGATTGCCCGAAGTGAGCTCAACTTCAATTGGGCAGCCTTGAAGAGCAGGCAGAGCAGCCACAGCAGCAGCAGCAGGAGGCGCAGTCATAAGTATTTCTGGCCAAGAATAGAATCTGGTCAGGACGCACGAACTCCATTCAGAAAAATTCATGTGAAATGCGAGTCGAGAAACTGTCAATAAAATGCCTCTAAAGTTTGCCGTTGTGCATGATCGAAGCGCAGCTGTTCTCTGTCCCGTCTGATGTCCTCCCATTGTCCTGGCTGGCTGACAACTTGTCCGGCGTCAACGGCGTTTGCACAACAATGGGCCACAATCGGGCCATGGGCCAAGGTTAGGCGCAGTCGCAGCGCCGCACATGAAATCGAAATGGAATTTGGAATCGAGCTGGAGGCCAGTTTTTGGCCTGGACTCAGATTCGATTGCAGTCTGTATAAAATGTGTACAGGAAAAAAGGGGTGCCTATAAACGCGGCAAAATGGCCAAAACAAGAAGAAAAAAAGGCCAGAACTGTCCAGTTTGCGAGTCTTATGAAAATCCATAGATTTTAAAATTGAAAATCCATCAAGGGAATCCGTGCGACAAGGACAATCAAGGCACGGCTCGGGCAGGTAAACGGTAAACTGTGTGCATCATTTAAGGCCAAAAGGACACAGACACACACGTGCACGGGCTTTTGGGCCGCGTCATAAAACGGCGGATTAGCCAAAAGCGGATCAGGTAAACGCGTTAGCCAAAAATGCAAACACAAATTCCGAGAAATTCGCGAAAAACTACCTGAACCGAGTCAATGTCCAGGCTATATAAGAGTCAGCTGCCGGGCGTTTAGGCCAAACAGTTGACAAAAACGCAGCGGCGAGCAGACAACGCGAGTTACTCGAGCCATAAATATTTATCATATAGAGAACATACTTGAATTACATACATCAGAGATGGGTTGCTGTGCGAGCAGTTTAAAGTTGGATACGAATCGCAGTTTGAATGGCAGCGTCTATGCCTCAAAGCGCAGTCGCAGCAGCAGCAGCAGCGGCAGCAGCAGTTATGGCAGCAACAGCAGCGGGTTGGGCAGTTCATGCAGCACGCCGCAGCGCAACCGCAGCATTTGGAGTCGCAGTCAAACGCGACCCATTTGCGATGATTTTGCCGAGCAGCCGCTGCCGCAGCTAACCGAACTGGAGGCGGAGCACGAACTGGAGCGCTCCTGTGGCTATCATACATGCAGCAGCGACTCCTCCACGCCCAGCCAGCAGCTACAGCAGCAGCATCAGCTTTATCGCACCCAGGACATGGAGCTGGCCAACCAAAGCCAGCAAAGCAGCGGCAGCTGCAGCAGCTCCGGCGAGCTGTCACGCGGCGTGGGCAACCTGGAGTGGGAGATGTACATGATGCAGCATGCCCAGCGCATTATGCCAAAGACATCGTCGCCCATTTGCCAGCGTCGCGATGCCACATTTGAGCTGAACTCACGTTCGTATCACAAGTGGTGCAATTATTTGCAGAGCACGCCCGCCCACATGCTGCACAATGTGAGCCACATACCGGAGGCGATTGCGGGCCACTTTTGTCCCCTTGACTTTCCCGCCTTCAGCGATCTGGAGGAGATGGAGAGTGCGGCCAAGCGTTTCAAGATCGATACGAATGCGTCCGTCTATGCGGACAACTATCCGCTCCAGCAGCATCTGACGCATACCATTAGCACAGATCTGTGAGTGGGAGCAGGCGTGTGGGAGCTGAGCTGATCAGAGTCTGATGTGTGTTCGGCAACTGGACTGGGCTCCGATTGGTACGGAGTCGTCGCGGTTGGCCTCACATCACATGCGTCGACTGCTGGCTACTGGCAACAGGTTGTCAGTCAGTCGATCCATCAGGCAGTCAACTGATTGACACGACATTTATGCAACTCTTTGTAAATACTTGCCAAACAGTCGGTCAATCAGTTAAACAAACAACAAATCAATCAGACAGTGGATCAGTCAATCAAGCAGACAGTCAATCAGTTGCTCGAGTGCAGCATATTGAAAATATTTCTCAAGCAGTCGGTCAATCAATGAAGCAATCGACAACTCAATCAATCAGTCAATCAATCATGCAGCCACTCAGTTGCACGCTCACTATATAATGGAATTAGGCGGGCTAATTAGTCAATCAATCAACCAATCAATTTACCTAGCTGCATACACCAAATCAATCAATCAATCAGTCAATCAATCAACACCGAGCACTTTGTAAGTGTTTTCCTTGTAAATAATACCCAATTGCCTAGCAAAAAATATCTATATCCGATTTATTTTGTGTTTAGTCCTAAGACAAAAATTTAATTTAAACAAACACTTTTTTTTTGTCACAAAATAAAATCAAATTTTAAAAATGTATTTTAATCAAGACGAATTTATTAATTAAATAAACAAATCAAATTAAATATTGAAAGCATCAATTCTTCAACGGGCTTTTCAATTTCAAATGAATTAAAGGCACATCCAGTCCCGCCCCGAGGACACACTCTTGGGGCTGGCACTTTGTGGGCTTTCTTAATTAGTCAAAGCAAACAAATGAAAAATGGCAACAACAACACCAAGAAGAGCAACAAAAATCAGCAGCTGCTGCTGAAGCTGCTCGCATTGTTGTTATTGTGTGCGACAGGTCAAAGGTCGGCTGTCGCCTAGCGCCTGCACTTGTATTTCCGCTTGGCCAACTTCTCACAAATTCTTGGTAGCCCAAGTAGACAGTAGCTGACCCTCCCCCCCGACCCACTCAGCCCATTTTTAAAGGCAAAGAATATTAATACCAAATATGAACTTAACATTTCTTATTTTATCACTTTTCAGTTAATCTTATTCGTAATTACTTCATTCAATATTTGTATCCTTTCTAGCTCTCTCTTTTATTATATTTTTCCATGCGGTTATTCTATGCCAATCCCATGCTGTATCTCCCACACTCTTTTACTCTGATATCGCTATCTTTTTTACTCAATTCTCTAATTCTTACTCACTCCCTCTCTCCCTTTCACGCGAGTAAGCTTTGTCTTTCCCTGTATATCCTTTGATCATCTAACTCTTTCACTTCGTTTCTCTCTTTCTCCTTCTCGCTCTTACTCACCCTGGCTTTCCCAGTCTAATCTTCCATAATCTAACTCTTACACTCTCCTTCTCGCTCTCGCCCTCCCTCTCCCCCTCTCACTCTCTCTCTCTCTCTCTCTCTCTCTCTTACTCTCTTTCTCCTTCTTTCTCTATGCCTTTCAGTGCTTTCGCCTTTAACCTTATTCCTTTATACTCTTACCATGTATTTTTTGAGTTTTTCTTTTTTGCTGCCTGCTCTAAAATTGAGTTAAGTTTTGTGTAGGGTATTCGTTGTTCGACCACAACCTTATAATTATTTATTATTATTTGTTCTTTGTCCGTTTTATTTGTGGTTGCGCTTTAATTGGGTGCCCTTTAACGAAAATTCGTAATTTGGTTCAATTAATTATTGGACAAATTATAAATTGAAATGTGAATATTGCGTATTCGCCGTGTGGTCGGTATTAAATTGTTGCCTTTTTCTTCTGCATGTGTGTAGTTTCATAATGCGCATTGATTTTTGCCATTGGTCAGCTGCCCCTCCCCGCCGCCTCTAGGCCCCGCACCGCTTGCCTGCCTCCCCATGATTCGAGTATTATTCAGTTGGCTTTGTGCTGCAATCAAATCAAATCATCAAATTGAAGTGGACGCAACACAGAAATTATTGTTAACTTGCAACTTGTTAACTTGCAACTTGGTAGCATGCAACTCGCAATCGCCTTGAACTTTGCCTTCATGCAGCCAATTTCAAATATTCAAACTTGTCGCAAGAAAATAATTAAATTGATTACAATTAAAGCACTTCCCGTTAAGTTAGCGCGTGGCATGGAAAACAGAGTTGTCAGGTCGCTCAAGTATTAAGAAAACAAACCTTGCTGAGAAATTGTCTACTAGGGTAGAGTTCGAAATTGAGAACCAAGTCTGAAAAGAAAAGCAGCAAAAAAAAGGATTTCTTTCGAGTGCAGAAGATTGAATACCCTTGCAGACATGTTTATGACAGGTGTAAACTCTATTTTCTAACATACTATATGGTATAGTAAAGCTAATAATTCCAGAGTTTGGCCAGGATATCTTTGATATATATATATATATATATATATATATGTTAATATAGCATTAAGGGAAGAATGGAGAATGGAATATATATATATATATATATTCCGATCTCTCATATATAAGCTGCTGGGTAAGACTCGTAAATAACAAGTTTGTTCACGAGCTTTTGAGAAACATAAAAGTTCCCATGTCAGCTATATGTTAGTGACAAGATTAAAGCACCCTTTAAAGGGTATGTATATAGAAAAGGGTACACAAAGCTGCTTAAGTTTATTTGCGATCGAATGTTAACACAGTATTATACAGAGCTACAATCCGCGTCAAGTTGACTTTTGACCAGCTCACAGCAAACGCACGAATCTAGACAAAATTTCATTTGGCTAGCATTCAAATTGAAGGACCTGATACCATATAAGTAGATATTTCCCTGATTAGGAATATCACAATGAAGTGTTACTCTGTTATATATAGATCCTTATGCATGCATTATCACATATTTACTTAGTACAACTGAAAGCAACTAGGGCAAGCCGGACTATACATATCGCCTAATCAAACTGATATATGTATATATTTTTAATGGGCTTATAAATGTTTTCCTTTCATGTGTTGCCTGTTACGTGACACAAGTGATTATAGCTTAAGCAGGGTATTCAAAAAAATGTTGAGTGCAAAGTTCAGTAATAAATGCTCAAAATATTTTTTCCAACTTTTTTACAGAATACGAAAGCAACAATAGCACAAAAAGAAAACAGCACGACGACAATTCATTCGATTGTTCATAATTTAAAGCAAGCAATATTGATTTTGGACCCCCCACCAACCCCCTTCAATCCGCACTCAAGTTGTAGCCAGGCGTTAGCCATGTCAAGTATCTGGGGGCCCATGTCCAGGCGTCGTCGTCGTCGTCGTCGTAGTCGGCTTCTTGGCCTCATCATTGTCATCGTCATCGTTATCGTCATCGAGGGGCCAATGCTGACAGGCTGCCTTGGTTGCCCAGCTCAACAATTGACGTAGCCTTCCACTCGCCCACATTGCCCCACCCAACCCCGATCGGCCCCCAACGGAAGTGCAGCCCTGACATTGCGAGCCGTTTGCATTTTTAAGCTGCCGCCACCGCAATGACGTGACAGTGTTACCCATAATTGTGCGTCCCCCATTTGCTCAGTCAGTCAATCAGTCAGTCAGTCAGTCAGTTAGGCAGAGCGTCAATCAGTCAGAGAGTCGGCCAGTGCCTGTGACCCCTGCACAGGTGGAAAGTCGCGTTTTAAGGTTACGGCGTGGGGTCAATTGCAATTTGAGTCTCATGCTCGTACACTGAGCGAAAAGTGCGTGTTACTACTAAAATTAAAGTTTGCTACTGAATTTGAGCCAGCGACCTCTCTTCTTGATGTTTTCTTATACAAACTTTGAACAGTTTTTATCCACTTGGGTAAAATGTATACTGAGAGGCTATGAAAATTGAAAATTGCTACTGCATTTGAACCAGCGACCTCTCGCTTGCTAATTCGACGTACAGACGCCTTCTTGATAAACTTTGGCCACAGGTTTTAACTTTTTGGCCATCGAATTAATGCATAAATTAGATTGATTAATTACATTGTAAATCTATCAATTTGCCATTTCTTACACTATCTTTTGGCTCAGTGTACATTGACTTAATCGTGTCTATATGCATTGCACTTTGGTCGCTGTCAAAACGCAGAGACGGCCCTTAATCAAATGACAGCACGGGGCAAGTGCACAGTGCCCGACCACGCCCACAAGCCCTTGCAACCGCCCCCTTCCTGCCTCGAACAAACACTTGGCCGGAGACAATTGCAAATGTTGCTGTGCGGTTCGAGGGGCAATAAATTTGCACCTTGTGATCCTGCAGAGCCTGCGAGGATTATTGCAAAACTTTTTGCAAGCTCCTCGCAATCTCAATGCATGCTTTTTGCTGCTGTGACAGGGGGCGGCATGGGGGAGAGTAGGAGGGAGGCGTCGGGCTGCTCAGGGGCTAATAATATGGAATAATTTTCAGATGCGAAACGCACAATTTAACAATTTTATGTGCAGACTGCGCAACTTTTTGCTCCGAGGACACCAAATTGTTTATGTGAGTGTGACAAAAGTTTTTCACCATGTGTGTGCGGGTGTGCATGTGTGTGCGTGTGTCTGTGCGTGTGTATTCGAATGGACATGCACATAAAAATGATATAGAATTATTAACTTTCTTGGTTCCGAATTGAGCGATAAAAACAACAAAAACTGGCCCCAGGCTCGGCGCCTTTCATTGTTGGCCACTTCCGATGGCCAAAGGGGGAAGAGAAATGGCAAAGCGGGTGTGTGTGTGTGTGTGTGTGTGTGTGTGCGGGCGTGTGTGTGTGTTTGTGTGTGAGTGGTGTGTGGGTTAAAAGGACTGCATAGCTCTGTGTGCCCAGTAATAAATAGTAAATCGAGCTATTTTCTATGGAATTTATGCGAAAAATGCGTCCAAATGAAATTGAAATAAAAGCTCGAGGGCAGATACAGCCGAAGTGGGAGCGCAGGGCGGGGGCGTTTGTGTACAGGGGTGTGGCATAAACTGTATGTGACCCTACCATAGAGGTGTG